AATCAAACGAAGCTTGTAGCTTTGAGATTCTTTTATTGGCGCGGATACTTGATTTACTATTCTCATGGGATTTTTTATTTTATTTTTTTTAACAGTAATTGATCCAATTAACCACAAAACTCGGCGTGTCATTTTGATATCATGTCTGACTTATTTTTTGTGTTTTCAGGTTAATTAAGACTTGACTCATGCTACTCAAATCAATACAAAAAAAATATATATGTTTTTAAATCACGTTAATAAGTTTTGTGTTTCACATACAGCTTTAAATCTGGCATCCGTCGTACTGCACTATAAAAGGTTCATTAACAAATACCAAGATCGTCGTTTGAGCTTCTCCGCATCGGGAAAAGCTTGTTCGGATAAGGAAAAATCAATAGTTCCTGTCTTACGATGTATAACTAGATTATCGCTAAGTGTTTCCGAGTGAGCCCTCTCGCCCCATGTCGAAATATGTCTTCTCAGATGGGCTGATCCCACTAATTCTTGTTTTTTATAAGTTATATGAAGTAAAGGGGATTGAGGTTATGCAAATTTGTTATTGATTCAGAGTTTAATGCATTTTACAAGACGAGCTAGAAACTTCGATTTGCGTCCTGTTTTGAGTCACCTGTTGTTTATTTGTCTGTCTGTTTGTTTTTGTCGCATGATATTTATAGAATCAGTTGAGTTCATGGATTGTAAATTGTCACATTTATTCTTAAAATTGGCTGAGCATAAAACTCAGTTTGTAAATAAACATTCAATGGAGTTGAATATGGATTATTACCCGCGATATATTCTAGCGACATTTCCAGTGGTATAATTAAATACTTGGCTCGAACAATTCGAGTCAAAAGGCCGCGGTACTCGAACGGAAATTCGGAACTCGAACACCCGAGTGAGATGACGCCACTCGAATCTTACCCGAATTGTGCATCTCAGCTGCCTCTGGACTATTCAACTAGCATCAGTTCAAGTCAGAACGTTAGCGGGATGATACATTTTGAGATATTTTTGTGGTTTAGTGTTTTTTCTTTTTCTTCTTTGCTCTTTTGTCGTCGATCGTGGCTCTAAAGGAAAGTAGTGATAGACTGGAGAATAAGAGGAAAACAGTGAGGGCAACTATCGAGTTAAAAAAAGAAATTGTTGCGAAATACGATATTGGTGTTCGAGCGTCTGATCTCGCCTCAAAGTATGGCATGGCGAGGAGAAGTCTACCATTTACACGTTTTTGGAAAATATGGAAATGATGAAGAAAGCTAATGTTGCTCAGCGAGTGACAGCTATTATTGTTGTTCAGAAACACGTTTTATTACAATTTTGGGTATTTTGGAATGCGTAAGAACGCATCAAAATAATTACCATTGTTTCTTATGGTACGAAAAGTTTCGGTCTCAAACAAATCGGTAGTCGAAGACGCACGAATTATGTTCGACTACCGAGATATAAAAATATAGTATATTATAGAAAGGTGATAATGTATTTAGAATGTTGACGACTGTAATAGCGACTCATGCTATAGGTTTCGTGTTTAATACTCTGTACGCCACTTAATTCACGATGTGAAATGAGTACCTTGGAACCGAAAAGGGATATTATTGTAATAGAATAGTAGGCAGTGGCTGCTGGTCTAAAGCCTTGTGCCGAGGAAGTGTGAATGATCTCAAGAGGCGAATATGGCGTGTTTTAGGTAATGAATGCAAATGACACGACGTTAATGCATTTTATCAGCTATTTTATTTGTTTATGCGACAAAAAAATTCAGTAATTTCACTGTCATTTAAGGACAATTCCAATTTTTATTCAAAATGAATAATCAATCCTACTGTAAATATACTTTTCTCAAAGCTGAGCTCCAAAATGAAATGATCTTGGACGACACGCCTCGTCTGGGGAAATAGGTGTACAGATCACAAGATCAGGATAAAAATGACAGCAAAATACTAGTAAAATTGGAGTTTCTATTATAATTTTATTGGCTTTTCATTCCACTAAATGAATCGCTATTTCCCAAGTGACCCATAATTATATATATTTATTTTGTGTCCTTAAATATTTTATGCGGGTTAATTAAATGACATACTATGCGCCAAATTAGGAGTGGACTGAAAAATAAAATCAATTTGATTCAAGCGTGGGCCATAGTTATGAACTGTTATATTTTCCCTCGTGATGATGTAGTAAATATTTTTGCTTTCGCAATCCGGGAGTAAAGGGTTTGCAACAACGCGGCATCTTAGTTAATATCGTAAAAGTTAGTGGGAGTATGAAAATAAATAATTTTTTTTTCAACTAAGTAAGATAAAGAATGAAGATAATAAGTTATTTGTAATTCAACTGAAGAAAAATATAGATTAATTAAGTTTGAACGAGACGGGGGAAGCTTTGGTAAATAAGATCGAGAAAACTGATATTTGAGGCTGATTTAAATGTGCCAGATTCTAATTGGATAAATATTATATTATAGACAGAAAATTATCGTTTAGCATGCTGGGTTCAGGTCGCAATAAAAATAGTTATCTCGAAAAATTAGTCCGAGATTTTTAGTTGTCAAAGACAAGGTCTTTTAACTATATACTAAGTATATACAGGTCAACAAGTTTTGATGATATATACTGCTTGACTTCGTTACGCGCTCAAAGCTTCAAAGATAGTTTAATCGTGATTTTGCATTTAATAAAAAGGTGATAAATAAGAGAGGCCCCCCAACAACTCGACTCTGTTTACAAATATACAATGGATAATGGTTCAAAAAAGGAATCCGAGGCCTACTTGCAACTCTTTGCGAAATGGGTCATTTTTTGTGTCGAGCGGCGTGGCAGATCAATTCTTTTGTTTAAAGTCAATAATAACAGTATTTGTATAATAATTTTACCTCTAGATTGGAAAATTCTCACTAAATCACATTCAAGCGTGTTTAGTTTCCACTGCCTTTCACTCTTGTTAAACAATGCCGTATATGTATAGTTTCTGATATTATTAATATGATCGTCAGCGCGTGTAATGGCTTCCGCTGTTTAAGGTTGTTTATGACGTTAACTGAATTGTTTTGCGGCTTTGACGGTCGATTTTCCACCAATATCGACCAGCCGGCACCCGATGTGGGCACTGGAGAATAAACCTCAAGGACATGACGTTTAAATCCCAAATCATTAAAAAGTCGCCAGTCTGTCAGAAAATATTCTTTTAAATCCGGTCGTACCCTTTATGTCGATTCAATCAGTACTGTTCAAACCCTTTGAGAATTCTTAGAATACGGTTTTAAATCTTTTTACATTGCTAATTTAAAATACTCTGAAAGTAAGCCTTGTCGGGGTTTGTTGAACGTACATATAAATTATATTTAATTTACATGGGCTAATTGATTTTTCGTGTACACACTCAAATGGTATTCCGACTATTGAATGAGCAACACACTGCAGGTAGACGTGTTTCTCATATGCAGTGTATATGTAAACCTTTGTGTTGCAAAAAGAATAGTAAATTCTGCAGTAATTTTAATGTTAATCCAATTTGAACGGGCTAATTTTATTCAAACTGCTTATGAAGAACATTAGTACGGGCCTTCGTTTAAAAAATCACCTCAAAATATTGTACTGAAAGTTAAGTTCATCCCTTAGGGGTCGATGAATATGAACTATTTTCTTACTTGACTGACTTACCATTCTGACAATGCAACATCAGTTAAAACAATATTTAAATATTTATTACAAAATTCATGGTTTGGTTTGTGATACTTGCGCGCTTGCATTATCTGCATTATATCACACCATATTAACTTTACTCCTGTATTTGCGCTTCATGTCAGCTTTCATTACCAACAATACACAAGCTGCGTATCTCTTTATGCCTGTTATTGAATATTTTTATCAAATCCATTCCAATCTATGATAAACCTTCCATGACGCCTAACGTTGTTACGACATACATTGTTGCCCCCACAACATTTCATTATTTCGAAACAAGTTTTTGCAAATAGAAAGTTCTTTGCGTACCAGCTGGTAGACTTGCGTGACACTATTGACATGCATACCAAAGGCAGGGTTAATGTTATTTAATTGATTAAACTGATCAAGTTTAAGTCTGGAATCGGTATAGATGTTGAACATAGTATGTAGTTCGTTTCGAATTTTTTTAAAATTGTTAAAAATCACTATATGTGAGTATAGAAAATTTTACGATTCCAAGCAATTCAAATACCGTACTTTGGTACTAGCTCCCGCGGCTTCAAAATAATAATAATAAACTCGAGGTTTGCAAGTTTGCTTAAGTTCTAGCCGAAATTTTCAATTCCGACTAACGAATTTTCACAAAACTGAAATTTGTACTCTGGCATCGAAAAATTCAGAGCGTACAATTCGGTGTCATGATAAAAAGTATCATTTAATGGAACAATTTTCCTATTTGGGATATAAAAAACTCGTCATGTAAATACAAAGTGAAATTTTGAGCGCAGGCGGTGTATCTGACAATCGCTTCAAAAAAAAGTGAAATACAATTATATTCAAACGATGATATTGTCATTAGGGAATTTCACTGTGACATCATAGCAAAGTATGTTGAACAAAGATAAAATAGGAATGAATGATTAAAAAGAATAGCTTGATGGGCGCTTCCCCCATTGTCTTATATAACGCACGGAAATAACAAACCAGAATTCGACATATAATCTCTTAATGTAATCTCATTAATATATTCATAACTTGAATGATTGGATCAAAGTTGAAGGAAAATTAATTGTAACTTAATATATCCGAGTTGAACTTACAGATTATTGTAGTATCAGCCGGGTATGGGGTATTGATAAAGAATAGTTTTAAGCACTATTTAAATCCAACTCATACATGGGCATAATAATAAACTAATCCAAAACGTACTTCCAAATATTAAATAATTACTTCGAAATACCAGTTAAAAGTGTGGTACTTTTTACCTGTACACACTTTTCTATCAATGAATAAAACTAAGCCTCTACTTTGCATTCGATATGCTTTTAGAATGGATAACTGTGCCAATGCCACACAGGCCTCGAAGGTATCCGTATCGTTAGTTAATTCGCTGGAAAGCTCCGGCTTTGAGTCGGGAAAGCTTCGTAGTCAGCGACTCAAAAATCCATTGGGACATAGCAACATACTGGAGTACAACACCTTGACATTACAAACGAAAAAACAACGACCAATGTCGTCTCTTTCACCTTTGGGATTTACTGTTACAAACGAAGAAATTATGGGCTGTAGCAAGATGGATCAACAAGTCGGAGAAAATTACGTAGCCAAGAGCAAAGACGATTTTTCATTGAAAGAAGGTATTGTATTATTTGATGTCGTCTTCTAGCGGGTCTTTTTTTCTTTTCTTTTGTTGACTGTTTTTTTTTTTCAGTATGTGTGTGTGTGTGTGTTGGGGTGTTAATTGAAGGGTTGTTCGAATCTATCTACCTAACTCGTTATACCGAAGCAAAACCGGGGTAAATTGTTGGAAACTGGGGTATATGGCCTGGCACCATTCGATTCACCGTTTCTCCCAGGAATAAGAAACATAACATGATTGCATGTTAGAATATTACATTAGATGCATACTAATTTTATTGTCGTCATCCCATAAAATACAAGACGAGACACTAGCCATATTTGATGTCCCCACATCCAGCACATCATCAACAAATATGTAATAAAATATGATGACATATATGTTACTACGTCAAAATACAACATGTTCTTTTAAGAATGGTATTGTTCGTTATTTGGATTTCAAAGTTTCTTTTTATATTCATTTTTTTCTATAATTATGATTTTGCCATTATTTATAATTCAAGTAATAATCATTGGTAATACCTTAAAATAGATTGATAATAATATTCGGATCTTTTGTACAACACCAAAACAAACACCCCCACCAACTCGCAATTCAATATTTTAAATCATTCCTGACCGCAAGTGCATGAGTGGCGGGAGCTTTGTACAAAATAACCATATGTTTTTCCAATAAAATAAACAATATTTATTCTCTCACACGAATGTGCTTGAGAAAGAAAATAAATTGACTTTCTTGAAATGTACTTTGAAGGGCCCTTGAAGGAATTGATGCTTACACAGTTACGTCTGCTCAGTAGTAAGACAATACAGTGAAAGTTGTTGAGGTGAAAACTAGCATGTATTAGCGAAAGACGTGTAGAATTTTGTAGCTTATGCATACGCGGGGAAAAGTCGTACATATTGGAAACAGAGATGGACTTGTTAAATAAACTGATGCTGATCTTGTGCTAATTCTGCAATTCCCATGTCACCTGGCACCGAAATAATTAGTCTAGTTTGGTTGTCGGGTAATGGAGACTTGAAATCATTTTAATTGAGTTGGAGTAGTAGTTTGATTCTGAATTCCGAAAGAGCATCACTGATCAATGGAAATAACAGAAACAAAACTAGAGATAAGTCCACTTATAAGTTCCATTGCAGTGAGTCAGTAAAATTCATGCGTGCGATGTAGTGAGGCACAATGTTCGAAGCAACACAATTTTCATAAGTTGTCAACCATAGATAAGTTGAATTTGGTGAATCCTGTTATGTATATAGCCCACAGAATGCCAGTGCTTTTATTCAGTTTATTTTTTGCACATCTATCTCAACTTTATTTGAGCTCCCAACACTCGCTTGTAGCAAAATTGCGCGACCGTACTTTATAATAGGCTTATTATGTAGACTAATTTAATCACTTTTATAACGGCAGCTAATACTGTAACAAGAAATTTCATAGTCAACAATATTGTATAGTGCTTAAGCCTAAGTTGTAGAAACGTTCCGACTTGTTATCTTTTCTCTATGTTAGTAAAATAGTTTTGCTGGCTACTTTCTATTCCGAAAATAGCTGATATTTGCACGCTAATATCTTTTGGTGTATTTTCCATATATAGCACACAAGTAAACATCATCTTTATAAATATCATATTTATAGTTATTGTCTTTGTAATGTTTGCAACATATGAATGAAAAAATTCTTTTATACAACTTTGAAAATTCCTTAAATTTACATTATGTTATCATATGTCATAGTATGTTGAACGTAATATATAAACTGTTGTGAGTTGTTCGTCATCGAGGACATCGATTCGTAAATTTTAATCCGTAGAAAACACGATTCTGAAATTTAAAATTACATGACATTCTTATCCGATCGATAAAAAAATTCACATGCTTGCTCAAACTCTGATCTTCCAATAAACAATTTCAGAAGACGTTTGATTAGCTATTAGATTTCTTGTGGGATTCGAATAGCTGATATTTTTATATTTAATCACTCCGATTGTCACATAAAAATTAGATTAGACTCAAAATGAAATCAATATACAGTTCCGAACTCTTTAAAATATAAGGTGACTCAAAAACAGAATACATAAATTTTTTTATTACTTCTACGAAAATGAAGAAAATTTACTTCACACTTGACTTTCTGTGTTGTGTATGATTGTACCCAAAAGTTTCAGCTAACTAGCGCTTTGCACAAAAATTATGTTCTCTGTAGTTCTCTCTAAGTAATTGACAGAAAACGTTATAAATAGGAGAAATAATTGGATCTTACCTTTATTAGTGCAAATAAATAAATGTAACAATAATAAATTGCAAGAAATATAAATAATACTTTAATATAAATTTACAAAATAACAAACTAAATTGACATGGCGACATACATGTAAAGTTTTTATATAGATTCGTTACTACAATTATTTTGCTGTTCTTCGAACAGTATTTGCCAAATTGGCTGGAATCCCTAACGTATTATTTAATGTTAAGAACATGCATCGATTTTACTCGGCTTAAAACGACGTCTAAATGAGGTAAAGATTACAGACAGTAGATGTCTCGATTTATTTATCACACCGTATCGACTTAATTAATTCAACTTTTTCTTCAGTTTCGTTCGAATTCATTATTTGAATGTAATCAAAGATAAATCTTGTTTCTTGTACCTGATCCAATTCCGAGAATCACATAAATGGTAGTATTCAAATAGCTTCGTGATACTGATGTCCAATATTGGAAAAGTTGTGAAAGCTATCTATCATTTTTTCTCTTTTTTATATGTAGTGACTCAACATAAACATCGTGAAAAATACGGACGAGAAGAGATCCGCGCACCCGGATTTCACGGCGACAGTCAAATTTCAGGATCTTCCTTCTACGACATGTGGTTGAGTTCCGGACATGGAAGAGATTGTTACTCCGATTCAGACGCAGAAACGAATCATATTACGGATAATAATAAACTGAAATCTCTTGCCCACCAAAATAAGATAGGTAAAAATATGGATAAAACTGAAGATGAAAACGACTTCAAAGATAGTGGAATTAGTCCAGGTATTGAAGTTATTGGTGAAAACATGTACGATGCAGAAAAATGTAAAGAAAGCGATGTTGAAGATTGTAAAAGTTGTCAAATTCCTGGAGATGTGTATGCAGGACCGTCTAAATTGAGCGTTAAAGATGAGAAAAAAACGCACAATTTTCGCACAAGAGTTAGGAGAATACAGAATCTTTTATCTATACCCAATCGTATGGGTTATCTTCAGCATCCAATCAAAATATCGTTAGCAATTGTGGATCGTGATGGACCTGGTGAAAGAAGCGTTGCACTGGAAAATCCCATGGCAAGACCACTCGAATCAGAAAAGAGAAAACAAACTAACAGCGAACAACTCGAATCTTTTCCAGAAGATTCTCTGAAGTCTGAAGAAAGCTTAAATTGGGCCACAAACTCAGGAGATATTGATAAAACAACTCAAATTTCTCATGTTTTCCAATCCGACGCAAACACCTCAACTAAATTGGATACTACTTCTCTGAGTAGTAATTTTATAAGACGACAAAATAAAGAAGAAGCTATAAGTGTGCCACAGGTAAGTGTACGGTAATTCAGTATTTTTTGTATTTGTTCAAAATTGTACATGCAAACATTGTAGCGTAAGTTTTAAAAATGTACAACTCACCAGAAATAGCATCAACCGACTTACCAAATTCGGAAATTAGTGTGGTCGGAGCAACCAATTAAATCTCGGTATTTGTCTCGGGAACAAAAAATGTTGCACGCGCGCTATATATATAATAATTGTAATGATAGCATAAGGTAAAAATTGAAGAGGTCAAATTGTCAATTCAACTATATTGTGCTTATGTATTCTCGGGAAACTGCAAATTAAACGGGTGTTAAAAAAAATCCTGGTACTTTATAGAAGGGTGAGTCCTCAATATGAAGGATAGATCTAGGAATTTTCATAACAAAAACGAACAGATGAAAAAATTCTCAGAATTTCAAATGAGGGGTGAAAAGTAAATCATCTTTAAATGTCGAGGTCAACGTTATTTGGTTATAGAAAATTGTTATTAAAAGCTTCCAATTTTCTTCGTAATCGTTTATTTTAAAATTTCCTCTTTTTTCGTCCTTCATAACTTTTCTGAAACCGACTTGTATTCATAGTTAATGATCTTGTAATTTTCTGTATTCTGCCATCAGAGATTGGTTAGTATACAAACGCAGTTCCTTCAAATGCTATTGGTAATATGATTGATTGTTTAATATTAAGAAGCACTACATGACTGCGATTAATAATTCAACAAATTTCTACAGCTAAGAATAAAAAACCATCATGTCACATAGAATCTAGAACTAATTTTCGTGCCTTTTAATAATTACCTATAGTTGCCTACAAACGATGTAAAGAATGGACAACAGATAGAAATACAAACAATTGAATATTTCAAATAATAGAACGTTTGTTTTCATTCATCAATTTACCGTTAGTCTTTTTAAGATTTTTGTTTTCGTATTATGCCACTATTTCTCAGGTTTTGTTGCGTTTTTTCCGTTTTTGGTTCACTTGCCATCGCACCTCTGATTAACTTGCCCGGGTTCGCTGGTTCAAGTCCCGTGGGAGGTTGATTATGTGTGAGAAGATTGCTGGACTTCACAGCGTCGCTGGTCGGTGACGTCACCTCCACCAAAAAAATAAACCCATATCCTACATGGAGTGGTAACCGGACGAAAGGTTGTGGTTCGCCTTATTATTAGGCCGTCTGAACGGCTTCCCTCTCCCCCCGGATAAATATCCAAATCCTATCCTATAAAAAATGCGCCGTGTATATATTACTCCACTAATCAAATGGGAAATGAATTGCATTGAAATTCATCCAGTGTAAGTAAACATGAATGTGCAAATATGTGCCCCGAATCCCACTAGTTATTAACTGTCATTCTATCGTGAATCTATGCCGCTGCAATCCGGAATCGACAAGTTTTATGATTGAGGTTAAAAGCGCCATTTTTAATAACCTGGAAATAGGACGGTAACATTAGTTTGCCAGTATATCGATAATTTGATCTTCTTTTTTGAAGAAAATCCAGTTTTTCAGAATTTGTATTTGTTGTGTTGTGTTTTCAAATCTAGGAAAAGCTGAAATATTATACATAAACACATGTATACGCGCCAGTAATGTTATAGAAAATATCCTTTAAAAATATTTCCACGAAGGATAGTTTTGGATATGAATTTACATTTCATTTGACATTACCTATGCGAGGGTGCATTGATCAATTTGATCATACTTTGCATAATGGACAGCGTTACGTGTACAGTTTTAACGAAATTGTGTTAGTATGCTATTTTCAAAATGTCAATGTCAATTAATGTGATGCTACAGACTCTAGTAATAAAGTTAACAAAATGCAAATTAGCCAATTAACTTCTAAAACTGCCAAATGTAGTCACAATAATATGCTTGATATGCAAGTTCAACTACAAATCAGTTCTAGCTTGACGCATTCAATCATGATAAAAACTGAATTCTGTTTCTTCTGTATTCTTGAAATGTTGACCATAAACCAGATTTAACGGTGGGGCATGACTACGTTAATGATACATTAAAATAACTTCATATTGCTAGTTGCTTATAAACATACAATAAAGAGACGTTTCTTCGCGGTTCCGTCTTGCAAATAAATGCTCTTTTGACTAATTATAAATCGCTGTCAAAAGCATACATTTGTGTTGCATACTTTACTGGCATTTATCGACGATGTACACCCGTGGCAAAACGTGTCCATTCAAATATGCTCGAAAATTGGTGTGAAAATGTAGTTTGTCACTTCCATATTTAACATCAACATTCCAATTCCCTATTGTTTACGTCACAATCAACTTTGAACTGTTTTTATCTAGATTTTCGATCGTAATTCTGCCTTGAACGATATCAATGTTGTTTTACATCTTTTTAGTATTGATCGTGACATTATGTCAATCGTATAATGGACTCCCTAAATTCGGATGTTTTTCCTGGCCAAATGTCAACACGTTGAAAGTCAAAATCTGTATATATAATTTTCTGGTATAGCACCCCAAAAACAAAGGCTTGAGTAGTCGATAATAGGCTGCTGCCAGTTTAAGAAATACGGGCTATAGTCTTTTCAAAACGATACCTGCTTTATTTGGACATAAGCGAAAAAATGTAGACATAATGGCTATGGTATGCTACAACCAGCCCCATTATGAGCAGAGACAATGCGCGCGGGCATATTCCAATATACTGAACGAAACACCATCAGTCTTGGCCGAATTGGAAATTTAAATTCGATATCATTTATATACTTTATCGCAGGACAATCGCATTGGTTTACACGACGACTGTGTGCCGAGATATACAAAAATCGATGACCGATGTGAACCTCATTTGAACAAATCCGCGACAAAGCGTCAGCAGACAGATGAATTACCATTAGCTATTTCAACAGACGACGATATCTGGCTAAAAACACAAAGCTTAAAAAACCTGGAGGCAGATACCATTGATTTAACTGGCGGATTAACAGATGACAAATTGGTTATGGTAGATACTGAAAGAGGAAATCACGCAAGTGGCATTATAACCGAAGAAAATAATAATTATCCTGTTGATGGATGTGCTCACACGAAACCAGCTAACGGTAAATATTCAGCTAATTATTTTTCGTAGTAGATTTAAGCGTATTGGTTCCCAGGCGGGAAAGAATTCTTCCCTGGGAGGTAATTTATTTGTTTTGAGGAGTGAAGTTTTACTTTGTATATACGTTTGGTATTAGTTATATTCTCTCCCTTTTTATTAATATTGTAAATCATATTTATGACCTCAAGGAACAAAAGCGAAATTTTTATTCTTGGCATGCTTACAGTGGTTCCAACCTATGGAATTGAGCCTAGTCTGCAGAAAACAAATAGGCTTGGGACTTCTGTTAAATGGCATACATTGGTAATTTAAAGTTGATAGACGTTTGCTCAGTTCACTATTTCGCAGTTAGTGATATAATATATAAAAGTCACATTTTGTTTAAAAGCTTGCAGCGATTAGAATTCGTACTTTTCAAAACTGGGATTTGTTTGGATGGATTAAGACAAAATATTATCTCTATTTTACGAGTATGATTTTCCCCAGTAAGCAATTTGTCTTGAATCAATGCGATTAAACTAAGTCTACCGATTTAAACTACCAAGTCTAAATGAAGCTGGCTAATATACCAGTTTAAATCAAATCAATTTTAAATCCTTGGTAGAAAGTCTTGCAAAAATATGTATTAAACCCCAGTCAGTATTTCAATTTTTCAAATTCATTTCATTTGGCTAGTCAAGTCATTACTCAATTTGATGTTTGGTGTGCATTATTTATTATTTGTGTCTAGTTTTATTAAATCCCAATAATAGCTTTTGGAAATATTTCGCAGTTATATAAAACCACCACCCCAAAGTCTCATTCACTGTAATCCTTGTTCTGAGATATATAATTTGTTTTATAACCGAGTACGATTAACCGACAAGTTGCAACCCAAATAAAACTGGCATACGCTCAGGCGAGCATATTACTGTCAAGGAAAATTTTGCGTACTAGAGCTTATGCATCCTTTCGACATGAGGTACATTAATAAACTGCGCAATTCAAAGCATAAATAATTTATTTCCATTTTTCATTAATAAGATTTATATCTTACATAAATAAATTTATAAAATGTTAGTCGTGCTCGCTTGGTTGCAAACTCTCGCCGGTTTAAAGTGAGATACCGTACTGTAGGATATTTATGCCGGTAGCTTTTTTTAAGAGAAATTCTGCTGCATTGAACTCACATTCGTCTACTCTAGACCAGCGGTGAGCAAGGTTTCTCGACCAGGGGCTGAAAATTGTGCCCACCTAGACTTGCGGGCCATGTAAGTGCGACGTAAAAAATTACATTTTATGAACAATATTTACAGTGTTACAAAAGCAAAAGTGGAAAACAATAAGCCTCGAGCCAAAACTAAATTTATTCGAAATCTCAACAAGTTCCTTGATCTATTTTCAATTAAAACATCAAAATTAGGTTTTAGTTTGATTGTGTCAGCATCAGGCGGGCCTGTTTGAATTACTCAACGGGCCAGATTTGACCCGCGGGTTGTAGTTTGCCCATGTCTGGTCTAGACTCTAAGCCATTGGTTTTCCACCTTTTTTTCTTTCGTGGCCCATTTTCGTTCCCAAAAAAAAAACTCAAAATCAAAATCTCCCTGCGGAAATGGACACTTTTCCTTTAGTAAATAGAATTAAAATCAACACTCAGTAGCAGAAAACAGCATCATCAATTATTGGTACTATTTTAAATTAAGGATAGTGATACATATGGAACTAGCAATTTTTATTAGTTTTGTGGCCCATCTCAAAATCTTTCCACCAGTGGTTAGGCGACTTGTCTTGAGTTGCAATTACCAGATGTTGTGGCCTCTTTCGATGATTTGCTTGTAAAATGTGAGTCGATTTAAATAAAATCAGTTAATACCGTTAGGTACAAATGATCTCTGATATAAACAATGCCTCCCTCTAAACAGCGATGAGAAACTGCTTTGAAGAAGGGTAATGTGGCATGGACTCTGTCAAAAACTCATTCTGCGGATAAATCAACAACCTTGTCAAAAACAAAAAGTGTCAAATGTTCCATTGACTCAGCTTGAAAAATTTATTTGACTTGTTCGTTCATATGACAGCACTGAATGGCCTCATTCACAGGGCTGTCCCTAACGTGACTAAACCACAATGACGGGTACTTTTATTTACCGTAGATATTTTGCTTTCACAATATATATCTGAAAATCTGAAACCGAAACATTATACTGTACATGGAAAAATTTCGCCTGAACCCGAATTGAGAACCATTGGCTTAGTCGATGTCGAGGTTAAAAAGTATTACCCAACATAAGCATAGCCGACCAACGCTTCCTGGCGTTCCTCGTTGACATTTTAATAGGAAGAAACAGTAAGACACATATTTCGTGTCTAATTATCTCATTAGTAAATAAATCGTGACATGTGTAAATGGAACTGAACAGCAAATGGGAAATTCTTCATCGTTATTTCAATTACTAATATTCCAATCTTTATGATTTCAAAGAAAATAGCCAGAAATGGCTTAATCATACGGAGTATAATTATGCAAATTTGATCATAGAGCGATAGAATCATCAATAATTCTGTCAGGCCTATACATAACTAGTCTAGTGCCAGTCTATTTATCTTAAATTTTTAGAAACTCTATTACCGGGTGAGAATCATTCAATCGAACAAAACAAGACAGGTGAGGAACTAATTTTGAATCCATCAAAGTTATTGGAAAATCCATCGAACGACTACGCAACAAAAGACCTATATAAAAAAGATCACGAAGTCATCATCAAACCAGGTGCACTGGATGCAGAAATGAGAAACGGGGGAGATTCCTCAATTTTCACAGAAGGCGATTCATTCAATATGACATACAGTAAACTTATAAACGGGGGAATTTTTGACGATTATACTACAAGACACGACAACGAAACCTCAGCAGAGAATGAAGTTCTACCACGTTTATCGCCGACCCCGCCAAATGCAGTTACAAAGGTAACCATCGGCGAAAGCAATTGGTCTCCGTACGTTTCAGATAGAATACCGATCTTACAATTGAACGGGGGAGAGTTGCCATCAATGAGTTTTGATGAAGTCGATAACGAGTCATCTGACTCAACAATATCGAAATTGAGGGACGTAACAGCAATTCTGGAGAAAACCGTAGGGCAACAGATCAAAGAAAATGGACTCAGTCCTCCAGAAGAATACCCACAAAGCAGGTACTTATGTTTTGTATATTAATTCTAACAGTAATATTTCATACCTTTCACGCGAAGCCTAATAGTTTCTCCCTTTTATAGCAAAAAACGGTAGGGTATAATCGCTCGCGCAACCATAATTTTCGATGGGACTTGAATGGTGTTTTGGGGGCCGGGAGTTCGAAATTAGACACGATTTCATCACCACTGAAACCAACTGATACGATTACGTATAAATTATATCCCAGCAATTTTAAAATGGCTCACGGAGTCACGGTTGACAGGAAGTTCAGGCCCTGTCGTTGAAAACCCAAATATGTATTGTGGTCAGACGACGCGGACAAATATTTCATAATCAAGATCATTGTAAGTAAGTCATTTTACTTCAAGGAAAGGCGAAATAGAAAAGAAATTTGTTTGGCGGCGATTTTTTGTTTGTTTATTGATGTTAGTTAGACAGTTGTTCTGATATATGTTGGGCTTGAATTGTGGACGATTTCATTATATAGTGTGATCGCGTTGACGTAATATTTCGGATGACGTCCCCCGTTCAGCAGATGAACCGTCTAGCGAACTTTTCGAATTGTTAAAGCTGTACCCTACTTTCAGCAGTATTCAGTATTCCAACAGTAAGAGTCTAAACCATGCTAATCTTCAACTTAACTGATTAATAAAATCACACAATTGCATGATCCAAGCGTAAATAGCCGCGACCTCCAGGTTGAGAACCACTGATTTAGACTGAGGATAAGACATAATTAGATTTGTCAAAATTGGCGTTTTAGTGAAAACAATTTCAGATTTTTTGAAATTTCGTTGCATATTGTGGCCATTATGATAGCATAGATAAATATTGAACATTGCCAGTCAGCGGTGAGTATCCTACTTTATTTAAAAAAAATGGACAGAAACACCAGAGAGTACAAATTTGTTCGAATATGAAATGACATACATGAATTCATAAAATTGTGAATCTCTGTTTAAATCACAGAATACAGATGATGAATAGTAGCCTATGTATTAATATCCATATATATGATCATCGACTTACATACTTGACGAAACATTTAAATTATTGTAGAATATCTTAGCAATGTAGCCTGTGCAGCTGCTGTTTGAATGACGAACTTGATATCGGGAAACTAAATAGGTTCAACCGTAGACAAAAATTCAAAATCTAGTTTGGTTTAAAGGGAGAAATTCAAACAGTGAGTGCAATGATATGTCAATAGAAAAATGAAATAAAACTAAATAATAGGATGCAAAGCGCTCTTAGTGTGAATATCAATTGGATGTGTTAGTAATATGCATATATTCATCAATAGTTATTACAAACGATATTGATTTAATCAGCATATTGTTCCATTTACATACAATATGATTTACCAATATGTATCTCAGATTTGGTTTCTATAGTTACCGGTGACAATTGGTCACTAACCGAAATCTGTTCAACGTTTTTTTTATGACGGGTTTGCAATATTTACCAATATTCAGGACATGGTAATATAGATCAGAAATACGGAGAGTCGCTTTCGAAGGTGAAGTTTTTCAACACATACTCAAAAATTGAGGGTGTTTATGTTCCCTTCCGTGCCTAATTGAGGATTGCAATACATGCACGAGTAGTTCATGATACGCACATATAAAGTAAATTTATACTAGAGGAGTTTGAGTACCTTTGTGATTTATTATTTTTCCGATGTTATAATAGGAGAGCGATTTGTCAATTATCGTACTTACGTAACAGGACGTTGTTTTTTTAATCGAATAAACACTGGACGTCATCTCACGTTTCGACGTGGGAAGCGTGTTTACTTGCGTCTAACGTCTTTATTCAATGAGCTACCGGCAGTCATTGATTTTTATTGTCAGGCACAGTGTTATAAATTACATAAATTCACTGGTTTTGCACTATTGAAGAATACCGCTTGCTTTGTGTACTGTTCTACCTACATATTTGAGTGTTAAAATCATTCAATATGTACCATAGTTCAATAAAAGATATCAAACATGATGAGATTCCAATTATGATCTAATTCTTTGCCATAGAAATGTCGCGTCACTGTACTTAACAGATATTATTATGGTTAGGTTATATAGAAACTTGCCCCTTCGACGGTTCCGAGAACTCTATCGCGCCAATCGGTTTTTACTGAAGTAAATTTCGCCACTATGATTCTTTATTATCTGTGTAGATCTTGGCACTTCAATAGCTACGTTCTGAGATCAGTTTCCCTTGCTTTTATGTTAGCGAGCGTAATCTAACTCAGACTCAACTTTTGCGAAAAACGATGTTTAAAAATATGCAGATTCCAGTGTTATAAAATATTGATCCTCTTAATTTAGAATGTTCGCTCATGAAATCAACTATCTATGAATTGCGTTTGCCGCTAGTTGGCACTCAAGAGTAGACAAAATAAATGAAACTTTTGTATAGTTCTTGAGGTGGTTGTTTCAAAATAAACTACGTTTCCACAATGACTCCGGCCTCCATGTTCTTTTTCAGGATGAGAATATTTATTAAAATTAAATTCTTGAAAATTAAATTCATTAGATGTATACATGTTGGTATCGGAAATCATATATTTTTCATCGTTGAAGAATAACTGTTGTGAATTAACGCTTGTAGAATTGAAATCTTTTCAATCTATTCTCCAGAAAGAGCATTGAACTTACAGTTGACTTGCTAATAAGTTAAGACAAAACTTCATTGTCTGACACCTCATCCTTACTAAGTTTATGTCAGGCTATCGGCACCACCACTCTTTCAGAATTTTCGTAGGTTTAACCTTAACCGAACTCTAAATGCTCTAACTCAACATATTCTTTAAATTCAAATAAGTGCCCGAACGAAGCCTTGTTTTGTCAAATGTGTGAAACGTTTCACTCTATTTATAAACAGATATATTGTATTCAATGGCAAATTAAATTGAATGTGTATAACGCAAGAAATCACATTCTAAACTTTGCTACTCAGCATATCAGAAAAGTTACTAATTACCCGAACCCCAGAAATGTAACTAAATATTACGACCCGACAATCAAACTTTATGAATTCCAATCTCACCAATAATTAACAAAAACAAAGCTATTGTAAATTTGAAAACGGGTAGTTGGTATTCTGAAATAATAGCATAAAATTTCCTTCGAAAATAGCGAATAGGAACTGGAATGCAAAATTTCGCTCGCCTCAATTAACCGTTCTCATTTTAATGTTTCCGTAATAAAACATTGAACATCCATCAAATGATAACAGTGTGTAATTCGTGAAAGTATTTTATGCAAATCATACATGGTTCATTTGTAAGATAAACCTTCCATCTTCTGTCCATAGATGATTGGTACTCAGTTTGAGGGTCACGTCAGATCGTAGTTAGTTTTATCTTACCGTTAATAGAGTGCATTGTCGTGTTGAAGAATAATGTAAATATATCAAATCTTTCGACTGCCTAATGAATATGACTGAAACGAAGAAAATTTTTTTTTTGATTAACTTGTAATAGCGTAAAATTTAATGGCGTTTCATTATCGATCAATTAATAATGCGGCATAATAAAATTTATTCAGAGAATAATTCATTTTGAGTCATCTTTTCTTTAGTTTAATCCAAATCCCATTTTGCTAATTTTGTATATAAATACGAAAGAAATGGGTAAAACCTCAAATGGAAAATCTTACAATCACATATATTTATATTACGCTGAATTGAACATTTTTTTTAAATTATCGTGCATAATCATTTAAATGTTTTCAATCGTAAACCATTGCAAGTTTATTCCTTTTTTCGATCGATTTTTGTCAAGTTGAGGGCCGAGTTTGATTAAGAAATTCGTCATCAAGTTACAGGACTATCTGTGAAGGCAGCAAAATTGTCCAATAGGTATTTTTGAGTTGATTCTTGAAATTACAGTCTTTGTTTGTTATATATTAAACTGCTTTAATTGTGTGTGAAGAATAATATTCATCATCGAAACTTAAAATAGAAGGCAATGGACTCCGAAGACACTGAAACACGGTTAGTATAAAGATAGACATGTTTTTTTTTATTCATTTTTTCCGAAATATTTAATATAAGATTGTGGCTTTATGCCTTCGAAAGTTGAATTAGATTATTTGTTATTAAAAATAAAACTCGATTTCCGAAATTGCTAAATCAGGGAATGTGGGGGAAAACATAGTGCGCCTGATTCTCTTTCCGAACCAGAGGTACCTATATGAGCGATTCCTTCAAATATATATATTTGAAAATAATTTTGAAAAAGGTTTGAAGTGCCAGAGTTAGCTTGTCATGAAATTATCCCTAAAGTTAAAAGAATGTTCAATTTTTTCCTGATTTCGCCTGAAGAGTTCAGAATTCAATCGAAAGCTTTTTAAATACTAAATATTTCAATTTAAATAAATTGCATAATATGAAACCTTTTTTTCAACTAAGTGTACTTTGGCAACCCTGATGGATCACCACATAATATCTTATTCATTTATGAGAAATCAATTAGTGCATATCATCGTGCATTAGCCAAATATCTCCTCTTCAGGAAAAGCTCATACCTTGACTGCGATTCGAACAGAAATATTTCCAAAAATAATCATATTTAGTCACGTTACCCAGGTTTGTCTACTTGTTTTCAATATCCCCGCCTTGTAATTAAGTTTTTTTTTATGCCATTTATGTTGCGTAAGAACTCGTCAGTTTGATAAAAAGGTTTCGATCCACAAGCATATTTAATTTAGAAGCGAACGGCGTAACTAATTAATACGAACGGCGTATGGAAGGAACATCAGTGCACATTTTCCCAAGGAAATTGCAGTCTACCTGCAATAGTCTACGCGAGAGTGCCGTATGGCACTCGTTTTCTGTAGGTGAAGCAGTTCTTAATGGGCCTATATCAGCTTCACGAAACACAATGGGCGCTTCTATTTGTATATAAAAGCTAGAGAAGAAGTTAGTGATGTTAAAGAAGATCGAGATTATGAATATTTGTTGAAGAATTACTATGTCAGGATATATTAAAAACACG